CACGAATCGAATCCATAACTTCCCAAACACTGGGTGACCGCTCTATCCACTTAGTTTCGAAGAAATTCATGAAGCCCAAAGCCAATTACTGGGTGCTTACTTTCGAGTTTTTACTGTGTCATGCATAACGAAAGGATCAGCGATGTCGACGGCGTACCTATTTTACGGTCGTAAACAGAGAGAAAGGAAATAAACAGAGAAAAAAGGAAAACGTTATTCTCGTTAAAAAGTAAGAGGCCCTCTAGGTGGTGGTGTGAAGTTTTCGTTGCCATGCACGGGGTGAAAAAAGTTGATATATCTCCAACAATTGAAACTCTCTTGTTTTGCCTTGAGTTAGGAGACAACGGATGTTACTAAAACGAGGAACGGGGTACGGGGAACGGGGAACGATCACGAGGAACGAAATGAAACATTGAAACAAAACCCTAGCCATGAACCCTAGCCCTATCAATAACTTCATTTCATATTCTCTGCATTGTTCCGATTTTTCAATTTCCCCTTCTCCGTGCTCGTTTAGGCCCCGCTCCCCGTTTTAGTAACATCCGAGGTCAACGTATGGTGGCAACTAATCCGTGTATTGCCGTTTTTGTCATTTGTTCTGATGTTGACAAAGGACGGGCACCTTATTACATGAAATTTTCGCGACACGTTAATTTCACGAATTTCGCGATACAAAAAATGGCGAAATTAAAGTGACGCGAACAATAAGTGTCGCGCACATAACATGACGCGAAAATTAAGTGACTGACATCATGTCCATAATTAAGAAAGAACAAGTTTATTACCACTGAAACGTTTACAAGATCACATTTTTTTATTTTTCTGAGGAATTTTCAGTGTAAATGGATGTTGTAGTCAATTGACTCGAGAACGATAATTTACGTACAAGCACGAAATGCTTGTGGACATAGTGAGAACTGCTTTGTTACTGTTAAGGATATAAGAAATAAATCATAAATGAACTGCGGAAATGAAATGAAAATGAAGAAATGATCTTCGCAGTGAATGCAATTTATGCAGTTGGGTAAAGAAGCCTGAAAAAAAAAAAAATCAGGACTTCAACGGGGTTTCAACCCGTGACCTCTTGATTACCAATGCGATGCTCTACCAATTGAGCTATGAAGCCACTGACGTTGGGAGCAGGTCAGGTGACTGTTGACACTAGTCTCACTGTTGCATTTTTTCTTACTTTTGACGTTATTGTTCCTTTGATAAAGGAATTATATTTAATTCAAGGAGATGTTAAATGACATTGCCTATAAAATGTATATTGTTGTACTCAAAAATGCGAAATCAAAGTGATTCAAAATATAAAATTTTCAGAAAATCGCGAAATTTAAGTGTCGCGAAATATGCGCACATCTAAATTGCGAGGTAAACATGTCGCCAAAATTTAATGTAAGTAGTTATCTCTTTTACCATTTTCAGAATTCTCAAGTGAAAGGTTTTATTGAAGTTGCTCTTTACAATATCACAGCTGATCCTACAGAACACAATGATTTGAGCCAAAAATTGCCTGACGTCGTCCAAAATTGCAAGAGAGACTGGAGTTTTACAAACGTAGCGCCGTAACCCCTCTAAACAAGCCCACAGACAGCCAGGCTTGGGATGTTGCGCGGAAGGATAGCATTTGGACGCCTTGGAGAAGCACAGTGGGCGAGAAAGCCTAATAAACATGAGATTTAAGTGAGAATTTGTACGGCATTTGAGGTGTTAAGTATGGGATTGTCTCAGGTTAACAAATACCGTAAAATTCCGAAAATTAGCCTCTCCATGTACAAGCCCCTTTAAATATAAGCCCCCCAAACCGGTAACGCAAAACACCCTCCGTTAAATCGCCCCTCCAAATATAAGTCCTCCGGGGGCTTGCACTTGGAAAATTGCCCTCGAATACAACGTAAAACAAAGCAAAAACGGTAAATTTACTTCCAACTGTAAGGTGGCGATTTTGAAACGCAAATTTCCCTCCGTAGATAAGCCCCTGCGAATATAAGTCCCTCCAAAAATAAGCCCCTCAAAAAGGGCCTTTGAAAAACATAAGCCCCGGGGCTTATTTTCGGAATTTTACGGTATTTACTAAAACAGTGGGTATAATATGAGGAAGGGTGAATGTAAATTGGGAAATGTTATCAGGGTTTAAGTAGCTCGAATGAACATTGTGGTGCTTTTTAAATTTGTTCACGCCTTAAACAGGGCGCTTGTTCGAGGGGTGGCTTTTTATTTGAAAGTTGGGCGCCACAGAAAAGTAGACATAAACACAGAAGAACACTTAATACCAAACAGTGAATTAAGAACACGCAACAGCCATGCTTTTAAGTATAGAATGCCAAGAGTTTGTAAGGACGTCTTTAAGTTTTCCTTTTCTCCTAGATCAATAACAGAGTGGAACACACCGCCCGCTGACTTAGTGAATTGCAAGTCATCATCTTTGTCGTTGTTGTTGCACGACTACGACGTGAAACTTGGCAAACTTCCTAGTTAATACACGTTTTATGGATGAAATGTGTATGTGCTGAAAAAAGACTTTGTTGCTTTTGTTCCTGTTCGCTTTTATCTTCACTGCCGCTTATTTTCGCCCAGCTGGTCGCTAGCATTTCTCATTTTGAATTTCTCACCACCAATATAAAATTTTCATGTTGTCCTTGTAACGAAATACGTCTCCTTTGTCTTTTATCTCTCGCTTTAGCTCTTTCTCTGTTATCCCCCTTAGTGTAAACATAATTAAAATTTAGTCGAAAAAAGACTCGGCTTTGTTTAATTTTCCTCTCTAAAAGTCCGGATGGTCATGCGATTTACCGCCAAAACGCAAGGGTGATAGGATGAGAGATTTCACAACGACTTACACGTAGGGGCTGACATATGGACGGACGGACGGTCGGACGATCACGTGATTACCAAAATTTCTCGCGTTTATAGCTTACCATATTTTCTTACCCATGGTGCTCCGCTGCGCGTGCTTCGCGCGCGAGAGAGCTCCGCTAAAAAGGATTAAATTATATTTGAAGTATTTGTTTTTTTGCATAAATAAGATTAATGTTGTTTTGTTGTGCTTTTCAAATAAATCCAGCTTGTTCAAGAGCGTCTGTCTTCAGTTTTGCCAGTCGATCCTGTAATATACATTATGAGAAACATAAATTTTTTTGTTAAAATCTGCATTTGTTACCAGGCGTGAAACCCGTAACTTCAAGCTCCACTAAGCGAAAGTTGAATACGCTGGTGGTTGTAGATTTCAGATTCATCTCTGCATTCTTGCATGCGTAATAAGCCGTGAACATTTGGTGATTACAGGAATCGGTGCTGAAGCGAACAACAAAAACAGCCAGCATCAGAATAAGTAAAAAGAAGTATTTTCAAAACAAATTGCCTGACCACTTCAAAACAAAAAGCTAGATTTGCTAGCGGTGCTAAATTAAGATAAAAGCCAAAGTTACGCTCGGTTTGCCAAATTATGCCAAAATTATGCTTGCACAATCGACAAAACCCTAGACGGCCCCAGAGTAGTTCTGAGGACAAATAGAAAGAGTCACATGGTAGTCACGTGTTCCGAGCTTGAGACCACTTACCGCTGATACATAGATCCAGAGTGTTTCATATTTCTGTAATGAACAATCGATGCTTCGCTTTTTCTGGTTTGGCTTCTTTTTTATTGCTGTCGTTTTGGAGACAGCAAATGGTTCCAAGCCTCCTAACATAGTACTGACTGTAATTGATGATCTGGGTTGGAGTGATGTGGGATTTCAAGGATCTGTTATTCATACTCCAAACATCAACAGACTGGCAGCTGAGGGCGTCATATTGGACAACTACTATGTACAATCTATGTGTACGCCAACCCGAAGTACCCTGATGACTGGAAGGTACCCCATACATACAGGTGACAAGACAAGGGCTTAATTTATTTGGGGTCTTATACCACCTTCTTGTACATCGACTTTTTTAAAAAATATTTAAAAGTACAATTTTCTACGTTAATCTATTAATTTATTACACTATACAAAACAAGTTATTACAACTAGCGATAGTTACATACGCACAGACACATATTTTGATCTACATTTTGTCTTCCTTCTAGAGATCTTATTTTTAAGCATTCAAACACATGCTTTGCTATCAATTTTGGGTTTCAGGCTTCTCGTTGGGGGATTTATTAAAAAACATGAATATTTCATTATGACAGTTTTTCACTCTTATATAAGATATTCATCTTTTTTCAGTTCCTGTCTAGCGAGATGAAAATTTCCATAAGGGCTCAAAATTATTCTTCTCTTAAGGTGATCCTGAATTGAACGATAGATTCCCCGTAGACATTATTACTTATTCATGACAGCCGGAGCAGCAAATTCAAATGTAGGAGCGCTTTTGGAAAAGCCCGAATAAGAGAAGGAAAGGTCTCATTTGGCCCACCAGCGTCGATAAAATTCATTCAAAAGGGACTTTGTTAGCTTCAAAATTACAAATACAGGAACGGAATAATGAAAATGAATGATATATCTACGATTTACAGTGTAAGCAAAGAAGATATGCGTTTTACGAAGTAGAAGGACTATCTCTGAACTAGAAAACTGATAAAAAACGGACATTTTCTGTACATAGTGGAAGCTGTCTTTGGGCTCGATTTTCTGGAAACCAGTAACAAAATCCTCAAATCCACGAACGGAATTTATTAGACTGGTCTTTTCTTAAGCAAAATACGTTTAAGCTTTTAAGCTTTTAAGCCGAGGCGCCTCGCGAGGTTTATAAATTTGTCGCGCGTTGATCACATAAATTTCTATAGATCTCTTGGGTGTCCGCAGTTGACGTCATCCAGTTGTGACGTCAGAGTGCGACGCTACGTCAGTGCGAATGCAAATGCTGTGCGTTTCACTTCGGCTTTTTAACGTCAAAACCTTGCTTTTCCCTTTGAATTCATATTACACCGAGGCAAACGAGCAATTAGTTGGTTCTTTCTCCGCCCATTGATGTGACCGATTGATCAAATTAAAGACTGGTTTGAGTTTTAC